ACGAGTGCCCTGCCGTTGCTGCTGTGTTTATTGCTGCGAGGGGGGAGTCGTCAACAACTGGCAAGCGCTTCGTATTTTGGCTTTGGAAAACAACCCCCGGGTAACAATTTCCATTAAGCAATTCGGAGCCGAGCTCTTTTTTTTTTTTTCTTGTAAAGTTTCTGGCATAATTGCTACCCACCCCATCAGGCTTCCCTCTGCTGCTGTGTCATTATGCGACTTTTTTCGGCTTTTAGTTGCCATCCCTTTCCCCTCAGCCCCTGAGACTTACTCTTCTGCCTCAACTTCCCGGCCACAGCGGGGAAACAGGAGTTGGGGCAGACCAAAGGCCCTACGGGCCCAAAATCCTACCTCTGACAGCAACTAGAGAAGGACAGAACGCCCCAAATCTGGGCATTCAACGTTCAGAGCTTTTACTCACGCTCTCCATAACGCCCAGTGTTTCACAGCTCGCTGCCGCGTCTCCCCTTCAGCCGCCTCTCACCTTTCCGGCCTCTCCTCCTGCAGAAACCATCCCACGCCCCTACGGACCCACCCGGCGCCTTTTCCAGTTCTTCTACACCCTCCTGGAAACCAGGCTGCAAACACGCAGATCTCACCCTGGCACCGACCTCGGTATCTCGTCTCCGCTCTGCAAACAGATCGCGATCCCCAACGTTCCTTCCCCGCTGCTTCAACAACCAGAGGATCCCTCCCCCGGCTCCTCACGAGCTCTCCAAGCGCAGAGCAGAAGACACCCGCGCCCGGAGAGCCTTTCCAACCACCCTAAGACTTCTCCGAGGTGCCTGGCGTCTCTAAAAGCCACCTTCAGCCTGCTCTCCCGCTGTCTCACCTCCCTCCCTCCAAGAAATGCTACTCCTTCTTCTGTTTTACACTAACCCGCCCGCTCCTCAGACTTCCCGAGGAGTATCTTTCTCCTTCATTTCCATCAGATGAAGTTCTTTCAGAGCATTAACCCTGTGTTCAGCAGCTCTGGGAAGGTACCACCGCGCAGGCAACCACCACAACCGTCTAAGAAAGACTTAAAGCGCACACCGGGGGTAGAGGATCCTCAGGCTATCGTTTTACATTGGGGGGGTTCCCCCAAAAAGATACGTTTTTCAGCCAAATAAGCCCCTCTTACCGCGCGCTTGCCCGAGGGAAATTAAGAGGACAAGGTGCCGAGGCTGAAAGGCGCTTAAGTTGATCCTCCTACCAAAGAATCCCACTGGAATCGCAGCTGAAGTCACGCAAGGTGCTTCGGAAGCGTTACCTGGCAGGAATTCTTCACTGAATGCTTGAGCACGTCTTTTGGCACGGTCAGGAACTGTCCTAAAACCCTCACAGCTCCCAGAAACGATTTCAGGACTCTCATCTCAAACCCAAATGCCTTAACCGCCCTCTGCCCCGTCATCAGCAGGTAGCACAACACATTAGATAGAAGTTGATAAACAAAACATTAAAACTGAACTCACTGCCACAAAGTTCTGAGTGGGATTTCTCCGTTTGACACAGACTGAAGTCTGGGATGATGTTTTGTTTTGTGTTTCCCCTCAGCAAGGTCCAAGAACAACTTATTGATGAAACTACACGGTGGGATCATTTTCCTGAGGTTTCTTCTTTTTTTCTTCCTCTAAGTGAACCTTCAAGCATCTTTTCAAGTTATTTACGTGAGTTTTAAACTCAAACCGGTGGTAACAAAGAACGTTCAATACAGGGCCACGTACTAAATCCTGCTGACCTTAAATCCCACTGACATTCGGGTAAATTGACGGAGGCAAAACGCTGAGAGAGCTGAGCAACTTCAGCCGCTCCACGTAACTAAAAATCCGTCACCTTCGCTCTTGTGAAGGCAACTTGGGGCAGCTGAAACCCGCTGTTAGCGTCACCGAATATTCTGATGGGCAGAAAGGAAACAGCTCTTTCCCACCTTGCCTTTGGGATAAGGATTGAAAAAAATAGCAATTTCAGGAAATAAAACCAACACAACACGCCCTTGGATAGTTTTTATCGTATAGAAACTCTAAACCCACGCGCCCCCCACGGCTGTTTCTCCTTTGCCTAAGGTGGAAGGGAGAAACTGGTCCACAAAGAGACCTTGGACCCCTCTGCTTCATCTCCCCACGACCCCCACCACCACCACCACCACCTTCCTGCTGCTCCGGTCTAATTTTGAGGCATTTCTCCCCCAAACCGGGGAGCTGACCGGGCAGCTCTGCGTTTCCAGCTTACCGACGGTGAGGAAGGCTTTGGAGACGGCGGAGCCGTGCTCGTTGGTGGCTTCGCACGTGTACTCCCCGGCGCGCTCGCGGCTCACGTTCCTCACGCGCAAGGAGCTCGAGGCGGCTTGAGGGAGGGAGAAGGCGGTGGGCTCCGCCACGGCGCTGCCCGGCGTGGCTCCGGGAGGTTGCTGTGGTTTTGACTGGGAAGATGGGCTGGGCACGAGTCCTCTGCTGTCGTACCAGCGGATGACGGGAAGGGGCACTCCAGCGGCACTGCAGGACAGCGTCACGTCCCCACCGTCTACCACAGCGATGCTTGCTGGTGGAGAGACTATCACTGGTTTAGAGCCTTTGCCTGGGGGGGGAAAAAAACCAAAACAAGATGAATTTGGCTAAGGAATATGCTGCTTAATGCCAAAATGAGTCAATATAATTAAAATTAAAATCCACACATCCTCCTTTTTCACTGTTTTAACAGTTATTGCTTGCTTTCCAGACCGAAGAGATCAGCGGAGACTTGTGCCTAGAGCAGGCTGACAGAAAACTACGCTCAAACCCCGCTTCAAATTGTCAAAACAACAAAGAGCTGGCGGTCAAGGGAGGAAGGCAGAGCAGGTGAGGCTGGCTCGGCCCACTCCCACAGGCAAGCAGGTCCCAAAAGACCCGCTCCACCAGCCTCTGCGCAGCTCCCGTCCATCTTCATCGGGGCAGAGGAGGTCAGAAGCTTCAACTACACGCGACGGGGAGAGAACAGGAACAGAGAAGGGGAACAGGTCTTGCCAACGTCCTTGTGTTAGCAGAAATCAAGTTCTCTGGGTATTAGAGAGTAATTTAGGCTGCAAAGTGATTAAAAGGAGTGTTGGTACCTGCTAATCTGGATCAGAACAGGCATAATTACTCATCAGCCAACGCTGCTAAGAATACCAGCTCCTCCAGCACAACAGGACCCTGACTCTATCGAAGGATAAATCCTGTCAAATCCAATCACAAGCTGATTTAATGGCAGCTGGTAATCTAGGTTTTCAAAACCTAGATTAAAACCCTTTGAAAACGCTCTTAAAGGTCAACTGAAAGCACCTTCTTCGTAAGATTCGCTAGAGACAGTGGTGTGAAGCAAATCAATACATAATCCAGGGGGAAAAGAAACAAAACCAGACTAAAGCTTGAAGTATAAACGCTTAAGTGGAGTCCCTGAGGGCTGCAGGCGCTCTTACCCGGCAGGACCCGAAGCCTCCCAGTGGACTGCGCAATCCCAACCCCGTTGCTCGCCACACACTGGTACAAGCCCGAGTCCTCCGGGGCGACGGCGCGGATCCGCAGGCGGTTTCCCGCCGGCAGATGCCGCGGGGAGACAGGGAGGGGAGCTGCGTTGTGGAGCCAGGTGAGGGCGGGCGCGGGGCTCCCGCGGGCGTCGCACCAGAGGTGAGCCGTCGCTCCAGCGGCCACGCTTTGGTCTCGCAGGCCCTTGGAGATGGAGGCAGGTTCTATAAAGGGAAATAATTTTATCTGAACCACTGCACGTTGATCTTCGCCCCAGTCCTGGAAAGGCTGCTGTGAAACGTTACACCAGCTCCTCGTGTGAAAGGCTCAGCAAAGCGCCACGTCCTTCCAGTTCTACACAGCCTAAAGCTGGTTTTCCCCCCACACACACACACGCTTGCTGGTTTTAATGGTCTCTCTCTCTCCCGTTCCAGTCACATGGTTGCATTAACACCACAAATAAACCACCTCTATTTTCAAAATAATTCTTTAGCCCCATCACAAAAGGTGTGCTGTGGGGCAACAACTTGTTTTCCGAGTTACTTTAACACATACATTTCAAAAAAAAAACCCAAACCAACAAACAACAAAAACCAGCCAGGGCGGCAAAACCCTCAAACACCACGAAAATCTGCTACAAAGGGAAGAGGAGATTAGGAGCGACTTGCAGCCCCACAAAAGAGGCCAAATACCATTTCCTTTTGCTTTTGGTTTTGTCCTCATCCAAACAGATCACCTCTCCTCGCCAGCTTTTTGCTTACATACAACCTCAAAAGAGAAACGCCTGATCTCTGGCACGTTACCGGCGCTGCAGCCCGTGCACCCTTGGCGCGCTGCAGGAAAATAGAGCGCGGTTCTTCCCTCGGAGTTTGTTACCCTTTACTGCTGGATTATTCCAGACTCTGAGGTAAGTAGTTGTGGATTTTAACGAGGGGGAGATGAGGAGAGACGGTCATTGCGACCACATCTTTATTCTTTATCTGCATACGCTTAGCTGGAGCGAGAACATTAGGCTGTTGGCAACCAGAGGCCAAAACCAGCAAGTCCCCAAAGAAAAGGCCCATTGCCTGGACGTGAAGAAGTCTTTATTCCTTACCAAGTACAGTAAGCGAATAGTTCACGTATTTCACCACTCCAGATCCGTTCCCCACCACGCAGGAGTAATTTCCCGTGTCCGAGGCCTCGAGCCGGTCCGTCACCAGGTGGGAGTGCAGCAGCTTCCACCTGCCTTTCCTCAGCGCGTCCCGGCCGTCCTTCACCCAGCGGAGGGAGGCCGGGGGCAGCCCGCTGACCACGCACTCCAGCATCAGAGAGCTGTGCCGGGGCGCCGCCAGGCTCTGGGGTGCCAGGGGGTGAAGGATGTGGAAGCCGTCTGAGGAAGAGCCTGGAAGAAAGGAAACGAGGCTTCTCACTCACCCGCCCTCCGCTCCACTCCTGGGGTCTGCCGTGTCCTTCAAACGCTCATCCAGGAGCCTCGCTCCGAAGTCGGTTTGGTGATTGGAGTATTGGGAGTAGCTCCTTTTTGGGGGGCTTTGTCTTCTTGGGATGGGACAAGCAGTCGTGCTGCTCCGCCACGGAAGAAGGGCCGAAGGCGCCAGTAACGCCGGAGAGATGGTACGTAACGTGGTATTGGATTGATTTAGGCTGGTATCCCCAGGCTAAAAACCTTCGGGATGTCATTTATTCAGCTCGAGGTGGATTCGTTCCGGAAAGCTGGACTGAATACTCACGTGTGACTACGAGTTTACGTCCAGTGGGTTCTGTTCGGAGATCGTGAGTAACTGGGTTGTACGCTGCACATTTATAGGGTCCTTTGTCTTCTAAGGACACATTCAAAATCTGCAGGTTTCCAGATGGGAGAATTAGGTAGTTGTCTAAACAGGTGGGGAAGGAAAAAAGAAGATTAAGTTTAACTTAGTTTCAAAAAAAAAAAGGGCTTCCTTTTTTTAGTTTTAATTTTTATTTTTTTTTCCTCAAACACCTTGTCAGATCCATCAATCTATTCTAAATGCAGGATCACAAAGAAATCACGCTGCCACGCAAAGGCTATTAATTTACAAAGGTAGGTTTAGACAAAGTGCAAGTTCCTAAAGGTTTGGGTGGTTTTTTTTTCCTTTAAATTCTAAGGAAAAAAAAAAAACATCCAGGCAAGCTTTAGTTCAGGCTATTTATATCGCTGACCAGTGGCATAAACCATCTCACCTGCGGATTGTTCCAGCCATTTTCCCCGCACTTGGAAGCGCACCTGTGCTTTGGGGTTACTTTCCGGCACCTCGCACCCAATGACAGCCGTACCCCCTTCCTCCGCCGCAACGGCGGCTTTCACCGACGTCTCGAAGTCAGCTAGGCCTGGAAGAGAATCGGCAAGGGGGTAAGAGCAGCCAAGGCTTGCGAAAGGGCAGCAAGCTCAGTAGTTGTGCTTAAAATATAGTTGGTTTCGAGGCGATTATCTTCTCTGGTGCAGCATTTGGACACCCAGAGCAACGGGCACGGTCTTTTCTGTAGCCCCCAAGAGCAGAAACCCTCCTGTGTGCGTACGCCTCCTCGCCACGCCAAGGGCCCCCCCCCGCGAAATCGTCTCTCTGTGACTCTCGCGAACCCAAGGCCTCGTGGCGGCGAGCGAGGAGGCGAGCCGAAAGCCTCGCCAGCTACCAGCACCTTCCCAGTTTGCTGCTGGAACCTCCAAAGGGGGCGAAAAAGCGGGAAAGCCGCTCTTCTCCTGCCCTGACGGTTCAAAGCGTCTTCTGGGTTGTCAAGTTTTTCTACGGCAGCCACCCTTACGGCTCTCCTGAGAGGCTCTTGCCATGGGTCAGTACTTTACCAAAACACTGAACTTCTCGCGCTTAGAAGAAATTTTCCTCCCGGGGGGATTTTGGACATGCTCCATAGATGAGGTACCCTGACAGAGAAATCACTCAAACCCTGCTTGACAAAGCCCCGATTCAGGCAGCTCCGCCATCCCACGCGGCCCAATCGTGCTCACGGAGGAATATCCATGGGGAAAACCTCGCCCTTCCTCTCCTGAAGTGCTTTAAGATCCAATCATTTACAGGCCAAGCACCAAGGCAAAGACTGATCAGAAGAACCACCGCAACTGAGAGAAGGGAAGTTGTCCCCAAAAAGGACAGAAGGCTGTCCCCCCCTGAAGAACGTCGGGGGAAGTTTCGACAAATAAAATGCTACAAGGGAAAAGGAAAATCCGCAGCTCCCGCTGATTGCCCAGGCGACCATTCCCACTCCTTTCTCCTCTCCTCTGACCAACCCTCAAGCACCCTTCTGCAACGGCACGGCAGCTCAGTTGCTCTTTTTGAGGAGAAGCTTTTGGGAACCCGGTACTTTCAGGTCAATTCAGTGAAACGGATGTTTTTTCACTAAATTTAGTGGAAAGGACTCTCGAGGTCCTTCGGCTCAAGGCTGTCACCAACACTAAATCCATCAGGTGTGGGTTTGACTAACTGAGTCTTTAAAAGCCTCCAAGGATGGGGATCCACAAGCTCGCTGGGGGGTCTGTTCCAGGGCGGCATCACCTGACAGCTCTTGGATGAAAAAAAAAAAAACAACTAGAATTGGTGAAAAAGTGTATAATCACTCACATACTAAGTATTGGCTGAGGAAAAACACAAAACCATCTTGAAACGAGGGGTTTTCTAAATGTGAAAGAAAACCAAACGAGCTGAGGGCTAGATAATTGCCAAGGAGCGGGGAATAAGAAGGAAAAAAAAAAGGAACTTACTGCCCATCGAGACCGTCGCAGGCCTGCTCAC